AACACTTTAAAATACTAGCTTTTGCAGATGATGTGGCATTAATACTTGAAAACCCAATAGAAGCAGCAGGAGCTTTGATGGATAAGATTGAAGAGTATGGAGCAGTGGCAGGTTTCAAAATAAATGTAGAAAAAACTAAAATTATAACTAAGAACCTGGACGACAAACAAAAAGAAGTTACAAGAAATTACAAGATGTCAGATTGTAAAAAAACCTAAATATTTAGGAATTACGGTTACAAATAAATGCAGTACACTCTATGAAGACAACTATAAAGCACTGCTACAGAAAACTAAACAAGACTTGGACAAATGGAAAAATCTGCAACTTTCCATGATGGGAAGAATCGCTACAATAAAAATGAACATTTTACCAAGATGGATGTTTTTATTTCAAACTATTCCTATACTATAAAATCAAAACTTGTTTAAAGACTTAGACAAGATGACATCCAAGTTTATATGGCAAGAGAAAAGGGCACGAATAAGATTGAAAATGCTACGTGATGTAAAAGAAAGAGGGGGGGTGGCGTTTCGCATTGGTTACTGTATTATAGAGCTGCAGCATTAGTATGGATTAAAGAATGGATTACTTTAGAAAGTAAGAGACTTTTAAAAACTGAGGGCCGTGATTTACTGTTAGGATGGAATGCTTTTCTGTGGTACAAAAAAGCAGGCCCTCAAAAATATTTTAAGCCGCATTGGCTGAGAGTAGCATTACTAAAGGTTTGGGACCCTATACATAAAAACTTTTATACTAAAAGATCAAGACTGATTATACCATTAGAGGCATTTACCTTACCTAACGTATATGTGGGAGAAGAATCGTTACCAGGATATTTTGGATAAAAAAGACAATCTTAAATTACCAGAACAATTATCCTGGTGGAAGAAAACGCACCTGGAATCGATATATTTGAAGGATAAGAAACTAGGATTTAATAATAAAATAACTGAACTGGAAGAAATTGTTTTAACAGCAGAAAACAAAGTGATAAAGAAAATATATAAGATCTTATTGGATGATGTGATGGTTGATGAAATGGTGAAAAAAATATGATTGTATGGGCCCAGAATATAGGCCATAATATTAATTTAGAAGAGTGGAAGCAGATTTGGCTGAAAAATATAAAATTAACTAATGCTGTGTCATATAAAAAGAACATGTATAAGATGTTTTATAGATGGTATATTACACCAGATAGATTAGCTAAACAAAATGTTAATCGCTCTGATAAATGCTGGAAATGTAAAAATAAGATTGGTTCTTTTATCACATGTGGTGGCTATTTGATATTACAAAGAGGTACTGGAGATGGATTCATGAGATAATGGAAAAAATAACAAGAACTAATATCCCGTTTACTCCAGAGATACTGTTATTGAATATATTTCTGAAAGACTTTGATAAAGCAGATAAGTATTTGATAGTTATATGTCGACAGCTGCAAGGTTAGTATATGCCAAATATTGGAAAATAATGGAAATACCAATGAAACAAGAGTATGTGAACAAGTTATTTGAAACGGCGGAATACTCCAGAGATACTGTTATTGAATATATTTCTGAAAGACTTTGATAAAGCAGATAAGTATTTGATAGTTATATGTCGACAGCTGCAAGGTTAGTATATGCCAAATATTGGAAAATAATGGAAATACCAATGAAACAAGAGTATGTGAACAAGTTATTTGAAATGGAAGAAAATGACAAACTGACACTTGAGATGAGAGCCGGCACAGAATTGACCTTTCAAAAAACTTGGAAGAGATTCTATGATTGGTATAATGTAAACGTAACTGATGGATAAATGTAGTAATTTGAGAATGCAGAAAATATAAGCTTAGTAAAATAGATAATGAATTTAGAAATTTAATAAGCAGGAGTGATAAAAGTCTCTTGCTATATGTTATATGTTGTTGGGGGTAGTTGTGTGTTGTTTGTATGTATGTATGTCTGTAGTATATAAATGGGGGGGGAAGTGTACCCTCGGGTACTTAAAAAAAAAACAGACCCCCTGTGAGGTAGGTGGGGCTGAGAGAGCTCTTTCGAGACCTGCTCTTGAGAAAACAGCTCTGAGAGAACTGTGGCTGGCCCAAGGTCACCCAGCAGCTGCATGTGGAGGAGTGGGGAATCAAACCTAGTTCTCCCAGATTAGAGTCCATGCTCCTAACCACTACACCAAACTGGCTCACAAGAAAAGACATTCGCCTTGTATGGGAGATGGATGAACCACTACAGCCTGTGAAGCCAAAGGCTTGTGGGAGGAACCTAGGACTAACCAGCCCCTCAGAATTACTACTAGCATGCATGAATTTGAATGGAATAAAGCCTGCCCAACTGTAACAGCCCCTAGGCTTCTGGAGGTGGGCTCAA